GGGGTACAAAGGTCGCAGTCAGGATGGGGGAGACAGGCATTGCCCAAGCAGAGGCAGGGCCCTGAATGATGTGTAATTTAAGAACATCAATAATAATAGTAATATTTTTTTTGTAAGGAAAAAATCAATATGTACATTCTGAAATCATTTTCTCTGTAAATGGTTGGATTTCATGTCACTCTTAAAGGGATGCTAAAAGGAGAAGATACTGTTAATAATAAAACAGCTACAAAGTCAAAAAAAAAAAAAAAGAATTATCTGTAATAAGCATCCTTAAGACATAAAAAAAAAAGACCATTTTTAACTGTGTCAAGATAAACTCCTCTGATAGAAATACAACATGAAATTGTTAACCTCTTTTCATACGCTTGTCGGCTAAACACAGTTCAGAGAAGGGGTAAGTGTCATGCAAGAGGAGAAATCTTTGACATGTGCAGTCTTTCTCTCTGACAGTTCATTTCAATCTTCAAAGTATGGTATGAAGATCCTTGTCTCTATCTTTTTCCTTGATAGGAAGATAGGAATGTGTGTATCTGCATATATCTACATACACACATACTTTTGAGACACTGACTTAATGGGTTTGCTAGGATGTGTATTACAAAATTGAGTTGATAAAAAATATTTGTGTGTGTCTCAAAATGCCACACTCCAAATAACCTCAGATTCGATCACTTACAATTTCTCATGAGATTGATCATTTTATGTTGTTGGGTTAAAAAATAAATAGTAATTTGTAGGAATTATTTATATTAATAATTTCCACTTTTCCATTTTTATATTCCTTTCTTGTCACTTCTTGTCAAAACTTGTACATGTGGACTAAATTTCAAATATTATTTATGTATCCCTGCTACTACTACTTCAGAACAACAATTAAACCAAAAAAAAAAAGGGCAACTTCCCAGGCAAAAATGCCTTTTTAATAATTTCCTCAAGTATTAAGTGTTTAATTGAATAGTTCCACTTCTTTTCACATTTGCTTCTTGCAGCTGTACGGGCTCTTTTCACTGTCAAGAACTCATATGAATGCTTTGTCAAATATAAGTTTAGGGCACTATTCAATCATCTCATTAAACCTTAAAATATTGTCCAAGGACATGATCGGTTCAGCTGGGGAGTCTTATTCCTGCCACATTCTCCCTTTTAATTAAAAATGAATTAGGGATCTTTTATTATAATCAACACTTTTCAACTTCAGTATACTCTGGTATCGTAATGGTTACGAATCGGGTTGCAAACCTCAAGGTCAGCAGTTCGAAACTACCAGCTGTTCCGCAGGAGAAAGATGAGGCTTTCTGCTCCCATAAAGATTTGCAGCATTGGAAACCCTGTACAGGGTCTCTATGAGTCGGAACTGGCTCCATGGTATGTAACCACCACTACCATAGGTTATTTAGTGTATACACCCTGGGTAGTCTGTAACTACCTTGAGAAAACTAAGCTTTCAAAAGTACACTATCCATTTGTGGTGGTGGTAGTGTGCCATTGAGTCAGTTCCAACTCACAGCAACCCTGTATAGGATTCCCGAGGCTTGAAATCTTTACAGGAGCAGAAAGCCTCATCTTTTGACTCTGGAGTGGTTGGCAGACTTGAACTGCTGACCCTGCACTTAGCAGCCCAGCTCATAATCCACTATGCTACCAGGGCTCCTTATTCATTTGTAGGAGTATTATTTTTTCAGCCCTGAAAATTAAGAGTAAATGTTTCCAAACATGTTTCTGTTCCAGTTTATATATATATATATATATATATATGGAGCTCTGGTAGCGTAGTGTTTACAAATCTGGGAGAAAGATGAGGCTTTCTGCTCCTGTAAAGATTTACAGTCTCGGAAACCCCGTATGGGGTAGCTATGGGTCAGAACCGACTCAACGACACTTAACAACAACAACTATATATATGTATTTATATATATATAAATCTTCATGGGAGCAAAAAGCCACATCTTTCTCCTGTGGAGTGACTTGTGGATTCAAACCTCTGACCTTCTGGCTCACAATCTAGTGCCTATTTTATAACCATTGATAATTATGTACATAAAGTCTATACATCTAATCAATTAGTTGGAAGCAATGGTTAAGAAGTCTACCAGAAACAGACTACTGGGGAAAATCCTCCTCTCACAGCTGACACAGTGAAAGGGGAAAATCATAAGTTGCAGTGCTGAACTTGAAGACTAGTATTTAATCGGTGCCATATAAATCATATCACTTGCCTGAAGAATGACATATGAGGGTCTAATTAAAGCAGTAGGATCTTTACAGTTAATGTTTAGTCCTGATAGCACGTTTCATAAGAGCATTTTATATAATGGGTGGATTTTAATCAAAGTACATAGTGTGGGAGATAGTGTTCACTTTAAGTTAATAAAGTGCTGTACTTAATTTTTATACTTTAGCTAAAAATAATTTCTTGGTACTGTTGATAGCTCAGGCAGATACATGTGAGATATAACTTTAATCAAAATTCTCTAAGGATGAAAGTTACCTATTTTGGTCACTGAATTTGATAAATTTCTGGATTTTTTTTGAAGGTCTAGAAATAGAGTATTTTTTTAAAACTCCTCTAAATATCTAACATGAATCTCTGAAACCTATGCAGTTAATGTCACACTCACCCCACCTAGAAGACAAAGAAATGACATTTGTTACTCTGTGCTAACTAGATATTAAGTTTCTTAAGGTCAGGTACTTTTTCTTATATTCTTTGTATCCCAATGGCAACATCCAGGGCTTTGCTTGTACTAAATATTAATACTAAAGTTTGTTTGTTATTGGATTACAGAACATATTGTTTCAGTTATTGGATATGAGAGTTTTAAAATTTTAAAGATAAAATTGTTAAAATAGAAACATTAATTTCTTTCTAAAGTAGAAGATGGCCCAACTTTAGATTCTGGCCCATAAACAATGATGTGGTTTTTTTTTGTTTGTTTGTTTGTTTGTTTTTAAATAAATAAAGCAGAAGAAATGTATTCTAAGAGAATAGAAAAATATTTACTTAAAAAAAAGTGTATGCTTATAGTTGAGTGTGTATAATTTAGTGGATGTATACATTCTATGAGGGTGATGGGCTATGATAGGGAAAGCAAAGGTGTGGAGCTAACTGGGGAAGTAAAAGGGGCCCTGGATTAAAGGCCAGGCTGAAGATTTTATATTTAGAAAGCAATGAAAAACTATTTAGGGGTTTGGAAGCTTTTATTGTTTTAATCATAGAAGTGATAATGACCAAAGCTGCACTTTAGGAAGATTAAGTTAGCTTTAGGATAGATAGAGCAAATTTGGTTAAGGATAGATTAGAATTGGGTGAGACAGGAAGTACAAAAACCAATTAAGAGGTTAGTGTAAGCAATTCTTGGGACAAGGCGTGAGATGGTGAGCTACCATAGTGGCAATAAACCAATATCCCTGACATGTGACTGAAAAGAAGATATGTGCCCTGACCTTTGCTTACATAGACTATAAAAGACTGCAAAAGAAAGAAGGCCTCAAAGAAACACAAAATTTTCACTTTGGATGATTGAGATAATTGAAATGCCATTAGCAAATGAAGTAAATGATGGCTTAGAAGGCACAATGATGATTTCGATATTTAATATTTCAAATTCAGAGAGCTTGTGAAAGTACAGAAAGTTGCAAAGTTATTGCATGTCTCAGAACACATAAAATTAGAAGCTTTAGTTGAAACTACAAGGATATTAAAAACTACAAGTTATTTATTATTCAAGTATTTGAGATAGCCTAGTAAATTGAGTATTTATTTATTTATCACTAATTATTAATTTATTTAGCACATTTTCTGAGCACCTATTCTGCTCCAGATACTGTTCTAGTTTTAGGTGCTAAGGATAAAGATCCAAAAAAAAAAAAAAAAAACAAATAGACTAAAAACCAAACAAATGAGCAGCCACACAAACTTCCACTGTCAGAGAGTTAATATTTGAGGTGCTGGGGTGACAGGCAGACAGAAAAGGAAAGGAAATGAACCATAAACAAAGAAATAAACAGAATATAAAAGTATGTGTGCCTCAGTGAAAATAAAGTAAGATTATATGATTGAGGGATACTTTAAACTGGGTGACTTTGCTTATTTAATAAACTATTGTAAATCAATACATTTTAGAAACAACGTTAAAAGTAATACATGTATTATTGGTATTTTTTCCTGCAAACAGGTTTTTACAATGGGAAAGAACCTTTGAATGAAGATTTTAATTACTCCTTACAGTAGAAAACAATCTTAAAAGAGATTGTAAAGTGTGAATTGGGATTATAAATCATAGATTATGTTGCTATTTTTGGATAAACTGTTTGCTGTCATCAATAATAAAAGACTTGCATTCAAAGAAGAGTCTTATATTCAACTAAGAGATAGTGACTTACTGAACAACAGCTTAGCAGGCAAGATGCTAACCCCAGGCCTGCTGTCATAGAATAATGCCACAAATCATCCTGAGCAACCTCTTTCTTTGCAGTCTTTCCAGCTGGCATTCTGCAACCGCCCTTCTTCAGTGCCCAGCAGTCCAACTCATTGAACTACGGGGGCATTGGCATGGTCATAGGACACGAAATCACCCATGGCTTCGATGACAATGGTAAAGGGCAGTTTACATTCTCCTTTAGCTGAAAAACACTCTAATAAATAGAATTAAGAGCTATTATGATTAATCAATACAAAAACACGTTGATCAGTTAGTGTATCATTGGTTATATAATCACATCTTTTCAGTGCTCCTTTTAAGTTGTGTGTGTATATATATACATGGGAGTCCTGGTGTGGCGCTGTGGGATGATGCACTGGACTGCAAGGTTGATTGGCTTGAAATGCTAACCTGTGGTTTGCAGTCCAAGGTTGATCCTACAGCACCATACCAGGAATCTATGAATGCATATAGTTGTTCTTGTTAAGTGCCTTCAAGTCAGTTCCAACTCATAGTGACCCTGTATAGGGTTTCCGAGGAAAGGCTGGTGAGTTTAAACTGCCAACCTCATAGTTCAAATTTACCTTATGGTCAAATGTTTAATAGTGATGTAAGCTATGTGTACTTTAGTCTGTAACAGAATAAAACCAATACATTGAGAAAATTCTGTAGTGTTTATCAACTCAGTGATAATTTCTAGTCTTATTTCTTGATGCAAATGTCTCATTTCTCCAAACTCTTATAGAACAGAGATTATGTCTTCATTTCAAATGTAAATTCAGATAGTATTATATATCCAAGTGGAGTGCCCATAAGACTTTTTAAGCTGCTTATTGTCTGTGATTTTTGTTCAGGTTTCTTTTATTTGTTATTTTCATCTTGTTCCTAGAACTTAGTTCATAGTCTTTCAGCCAGTGTGCACTTAAGTGTCTATATGCTGCCCTAAACGTCAGAATGAATTTAGAATTTCAATGAAAATTGAGATATGTGTAAAATCTTTGCAAAGAGGTGTCAGTTGAAGGTATGACAAAGATTAGTTCACATATGGAAAGTAAGCAGAGGGATAATAACTAAGCCTTAATGAGTCCCAAATCTAGAGAACTAGGAAGAAAAAGAGTATTTCAAAAAATACTTATTCGATATCTGTTCATTGTCAAGTGCAATGCTACATATTCTAAGGAAGCACTGGTCCCTTTCATCAGTGAACCTGATCGGACAATAAGCACACGTGTGATTAAGAGTAATGACAGTCAATATTTGTTGAACATCTACTAGGTGATAATGGTTACCTACACATTATATACCACTAACTCAAACTATACTTGAAGGTAAGAACTTAAAATCTTCAAAGGTAATACTATTTTTAGTTTTCAAATGGAAAAAAAAAAAAAAAAAGACACACAAAAAAACTTTCTCAATGTTACCAGAGTTAGGAAATGGTGGTACCAGGATGTGGGTTCAAGCAGTTTGATTTAATAACCTTTCTTATAATCATAGTGATGTGATTGGTTAAGCATTGGACTGGTAGCCACAAGGTTAATAGTTCAAACCCACCAGCCATTCCATGGGAGAAAGATTAGGCTCCTATAAAGATTTACAGTCTCAGAAACCCTAGGAAACAGTTCTACTCTGTCTTATAGGATCGTTTCAAATCAGAATCAACTTGATGACAATAGGTTTGGTTTGTTTTTTTATAGACCATATATAAGTATAAAAATGATAATAAAATTAAGTGCCAAAACTTAAGACATACATAATTGTTGTAACTCAAAAGAATTTTAGGGTTAGGTTAACAAAAAAGGTCCAGGGAGATTTCCGGAGAAATGAGACTTTTACTTTGTATTTGAATTAGAAGGATGCTGTGGGCCTGCTGTGTTTCATGAAGGATAAGTGACAGTCAAAATGAAATTCTTAACCTTCTTAAAAATATTTAAATATTAAATTTTAAAGTGAAAACCACGCAACAAAAATGCACAATTTCAGGAGCATTTTATTTAGTAGCCTCAGCTGAGCTATCAGGAGTCAAGTGAGTCAGTGAATATGGGTGATGGTTACACATTCTGACTACTGTAATCAATGTTACTGAATTTTGCTTATAAAAAAATGTCAAATTGGCAAATGTTGGGCGATATATATATATATATATCACAATACAAAAAAAAAGAAGTAGTAGTTAAGTGTGTGAAATAAGTCCATCAGCAGTCTGGCAGTTCAACGCTTCATCATCTTTGTGGATCAGAAAAAAACCAAGAGTTTTTCTCATCATTTGTCCAATACATTGTTCTCGCATACAGTAATATTTTAGTCCTTGAACCTTTAATTAAGATATCTTAACTAAAATTTTTGTTGTATTGGTTTGCCATTTTACTTAAATAAATTTGTTACAGGTAGAAATTTTAATAAAGATGGAGACCTTGTTGACTGGTGGAGTCAACAATCTGCAAATAATTTTAAAGAACAATCCAAGTGCATGGTGTACCAGTATGGAAACTTTTCATGGGACCTTGCAGGTGGACAACATGTATGTCTTCTATATTCTGTTTGAAAGTTTTACATATGTTAATTCTTAAGTGAATTATTGATGCTTTTCTGAACAATTGTAACGAAGTTGTGTGTTTGTTTTATTAACAGCTCAATGGAATTAATACATTGGGAGAAAATATTGCTGATAATGGAGGTATTGGACAAGCATACAGAGTGAGTAGTAATATTTTCTTTCCATTTTAGTGTTTGGAGTATTTATTTATAATATTCATTCGTTTAAGTCATTTTGCCAAAGGAATTTTTAAGCAATACATGGTGACAAGAAGTGAGGAGAGAGGAGATTGTATGTAAATGAGTTTACCAAAAGGGTCAATTCAGTCTCTGTGATTAAGCTGAATTTCTATTTCCAAGTCTCCAAGAAATCAAAGAGAAGAAGGAACATGGAATGTTACATCAACAGTGATGAGGAACTATGCAAGTTTCTCAGAGGTTGCAACATTTTTCAAAGAAATAATCACTGAAATAAACTTTTGATAAAATTTGTCCCATAAGAAGGATGATTTCAGTATTATCTCTGGTAGCATAGTGCTTACGAATAGGGCTGTGAACCTCAAGGTTAGCAGTTCGAAACTACCAGCTGTTCTGCGGGAGAAAGATGAGGCTTTCTGCTCCCGTAAAGATTTACAGACTCGGAAACCCTGTACAGGGTCGCTATGAGTCGGAACTGACTCCACGGCACATACCAACAACAATTTAGTGATTTAGTAATTTAGCCTCAGCTTCACAGCAGATGAAGCATCATCATCATTTGGTAACAATAATTAGCACAAACCATGGACATAGTGTTAAACTGTAGGTCAGTGGCAATGATAGAATAAAGGACTGAAGTGATTTTGTCTAGAAAGTAGCCCTGTAGAAAGCCAAATTATTTTGCTCAAAGGAATGGAATACATATAAGGGTATAAGGTACATCCCTTAGAATCTCCTTTAAGCTCCTATTCATTCTTGCATTCAATAAATATTTCTTAAAGGTTGTATGGTATGATTGGCGTAGTCCCTAGATGGTGCAAGTGGTTAATGTGGTCAACTGCAAAACAGTAGTTTATGTCCACCCAGAAGTGCCTCCGAAGAAAGACCTGGTGATCTGCTTTCAAAACATCAGCCATTTAAAGCCCTAAGGAACCGTTCTATTCTAACACACACGGGGTCACATTGATTGTTTTTTCAATGCTTTTTACACTGTTTCATATGCTATCAATATTAAAATGTCTTGTTAAATAAGATATAAAACATGCCATTATTTGATGATATGAACAAGGATCAGAGAATAGTCTAATGGTTGCCATGTGCATAAGAAATGTAAGTATTTTCACAAAACAGTGATGAAATAATGGTCTTAGAAACAACAAAGTAGAGTGAGGATGATTTTGAGTACTCCTCCCAACCTTGGGGTAGCCCACATGTGAAGAACAAGCAGGGTCCCCTTGAGAGAGTCCAGGGAACAAGGGTGAGTCAGGCTTCTCTCTGACAAGGATAGGTAGAGTTGTTTGTTCACCATAGAAATGTTGGGTGAGAGGAAGAGGAGAAGACTGGTAGTTGAGTCAGTAAAGAGGAAGCAACAGACCAGTGTGGGAAGAAATGACTGCAAGGGCCTACAATTTGGGTAAGTCCCCAAGGCTGATTAAGCTGGCTGCAAAAATTCCCAAAGAATCAGCCTCAGCCAATACCTGGGGTGGTGTATTTCTGCTTCCTACATGCTTGGTGATTTTCAGACATTGTGCATTTTACCTTTTAAATGCTGGATGGTTTTTTTTGTATTTTTATAAATATTCTTAAGCTTTCTTCTAGGACATAATTAAATTAAATTACTTGGAATTTGTTTGGTACTTTTGAGTTTTGCTTTTAAGACTTGTTAGGTGGGATTGGGGTGGTACTTAGTCTAGGGATATTTAGCCATCAACTGCAAGGTCTTGAGGCAAGACATTCTGTGTAAATTTTGTAGCTTTCCATTCTTGCTTGTGGTAATAGGCACTATTCTGTCTGTGGGAGGACTAGGCCTTGGTAGCTCTAATCCTTTTTGTGGTTTTTTTCCTAGCCTCTGGTAGTTTCTTCACATGTATATCTGGGTTACCTGAATACATGAAGAGACGCTCTGTGACCGTATGCCTTCTCTTTCTCCTCAACTCTTCTCTTCTGCTCTTCCCTCCTCTGTCCAGTGTCAAACTGTTGTTTTCTATATTATGAGCATTGTTTGGTTGTTTTAGACAGGAGGGTAAACTCAATCCTTATCACTGTATCTTAGCTGCAAGCAGAAGGCATTGGGACTCATGATGTTCTTAAGGTGATTTTAACACACAGCCAAGTTGAGAAGCACTGTTGAAAAAACCCAGGCAAAGTCTCAGTTGATGATGCTTCCTTGGCGATCCTCACCTAGAATAAATGCAGCAGTGCAACAAGCAATTTGCAGTTTTGCAAATATTTCATTATACTTTAGAAAGACATAAACTCTTAACATGTAATGTCCTGCCCCACTGTTACATTGTGAACTCCCTAAGGGGGAGCAGGCCCAAGCCTTCCCCAGGTACACGGTTTTTTTCTTACAATAGGAAGACCCATAATGAGATAGATTGGCACCGTGGCAGCAACAATGGGCTTAAACATAGATAGCAATGTTGTGAGGATGGTGAAGGACCAGGCAATGTTTTGTGTTGTGCATTTGTTTACTGTGAGTTGGAATCATCTTGGTGGTAACTTACCACCACCATAATAGCAATTCATTTGCTATCGTCAACATACTAAATCTATGTTGATGGGGAAATAAGAAGTGAAGTATATCTTCTGATTATCTAATTAGTCATTTTTATTTGTATCAAATTGTAAATTACATGTCAGAAAGTTTGCTGTCAATTCCTTTCTTAAGTCTATTTAATAGCAGAAAACTACATTTTTTTCAGCAGTACACATAAATCTTTAAGAATCAAGAATAATTTTTGATATTTTCAAGTAAGTTAAATTCCTGCTTTGTAAAGTAGAATATCACTGTAAAACAATGAAGATCCTCAACAAGATAGAAACAGAATAATTGTGAGAATGGTGCAGGACTGGGCAGTGTTTGTTCTGTTGTACATAGTTTCACTATGAGCCAGAACTGACTGATTGACACTTAACAACACTAACAACAACAATGTAACTGAAATTCTCTTTATTTTGCCCCATTTTTAGGAGATCAGAATAGCTCCTTATCCTTATATTTAGAATCATAGGATACTAGGCCTTTAATAACTATCAAGATAATCTCTTGACTTTTGACAAGAATTACTCAAACTCTCAAAATCTGGTGTGATTCTACTTTGCTCAGAGTAGTAAATAAGTAAATATGGCAAATTCCCTTGACAACTGAGAAATCTCCAACTGGCAGGATTTACCATTCTATTTTTAGAACAACTTTAAGAGAATTTTGTCAGCACTTATTTAATGTCATCCTTTCATTCAAGAGACATTTATTGATTATGTGACATGTGTCAGATTCATTTCACCTGCTGATCAGTATCCTGTTCTTTTTGGAGTACTTGCAAATCAATTCTAGTTATTCTTTCTAATCTGTGAGATAGTATTAGGCAGTCATATATAAATGTCTTAGTATGGAGATTCTGATATAAAAGTTTCATTAGTTGGTTCTATGGTATTTTGCTAGATTGCATATAAATGTAGAAATTATGAACATCTAATCTAATTGCTATTTCATTAATTTCCTAGGCTTATCAAAATTATGTTCAAAAGAATGGCAAAGAAAAATTACTTCCTGGGCTTGAACTAAACCATAGACAACTATTCTTCTTGAACTTTGCTCAGGTATTGTATCTTCTTTGATTGACAGATGAGAAAATTTTTTTGAGTTCTATTTTCACAGTAAATTAAATTTTGCATGCTGAGTTTTCTTGTTTTAATCAGTTGTGACATAGCATTTGACTTGCCCAGCTTTCATTGTGTATAACAGATTGTCAGATCATATTACTGATAAATAATTTTATTACTGGCTGTCTATCATTGAACATTATTTGAAGAGTAAATAGTAGAAGAATACAGAATTCCAAATGAATGTCTGCAATGAGAAGTTTGCTTTTGCCCCAACCTGACCAAGTAAAACTCGATAAAAAATCCTTCATCTAACCTGGGATCACTGCTTTGCTTTTGCTTTTTCTACCCGCAGGTGTGGTGTGGAACCTACAGGCCAGAGTATGCTGTCAACTCCATTAAAACAGATGTGCACAGTCCAGGCAATTTCAGGTGTGAACAACAATCACAATACTCCTATATTGGCTCCATTGATACCCAATTTGAAATTTGGATCCTTATAACTATGATGGTACTTGTGTGGCACTGTGGGTTAATGCACTGAACTGCAAAGTCTGTTTGAACAGAAATTTGGTGGCTCAAGCTCACCAACTGCTCCTTGGAAACCCTATACATGGGTTGGAACTGACTCGGCACTTAACAACAACAGCAACAAACTAAGATTGTATAGCATTTGGAAACCCAATGTTTATTCAAATATAAGACCAACAGAATAGGTCAGGGTAAAATATGTTTACATAATAATAGCTGATTGCCATGATTGTTCTTAGTCTCAGAATATACATGAGCCAAGTGCAGTGCTTAGTGAATTCCAACAAGGATGTCATCTCAGAAAGGTAGCACAAAGACATAAAAGGCTATGAATGGTTTAAGTCTAGCACCATTCCAAGTAGCTGGTCTAAAGTAAGATTTCTGATCAGTACATGAAGAAACTTCCTAGTAGAGTTTGCCCAATATGTGATAAAGTTTTTCCCAAAGCTCCAGGAGAGAATGCATTGAAGCAGAGAAAGAGCTATCAAAGATGCTGGGGAAAATTGTTACACAGGGTGGATGGTTGAGTTAGATAATATCTAATGTTCTTTCTAAATTAGAAAAGCTCAGAAAACAAGGGATTGAATGAGAATCACACTTACATACATTTGAATATTAAATTCATGTGGTGCTGTTAGTTAATGCTCTGGACTGTAAAGTTGGTTTGAACCTCAAGGTCGGCAGTTCAAGCTCACCAATCACTCCTCAGGAACCTATACAGGGTTACTAAGGGTCGGAACCTACTCAACGACACATAACAACATATCAACATAACAATATACCTACTTTATGACTGAACTCCTTCCTCAAATACTATAATTCTTAATCAGTTATTTTATTGACCCAGAATACCTCTTAGCAAGAAAATCTGAAAAGCAAACTAAGTATTTTGTAGGGTGGTTGGAAAATGGAGTCTTAAGAGTGAAAGAAAACTAATGGATTAAGTTTTAAAAGCCCTATCTAAAGTAGACGTGGACATACTGCTCAGATCATTCACTCCTGGGGAAAAGCCAAATTTAATTATGAAACAATAAAATAGGACACGTTCTGTTGTGCATAGGGGTCGCTGTGAGTTAGACCAACTCAATGGCACCTAACAACAACAACAACAAAAGAAAGGATTTGCTTATTATTATTGTTGTCGTTAAGTACCATTGAGTTGGTTCCAACCCATAGCAACCTTGTACAGGGTTTCCAAGGAGCAGCTGGTAAGGTTGCACCACTGACCTTGTGATTCAAGGCAACTTTGCCGTCCAGCGCATTAGCCACAGTGCTACACCAGGACTCCTCTAATACCATCAAAGACTACAGCCTTCAGTATGGATTCCACCTCGATGTAAAAAAATTTTAAATCCTTACAACTGGACCAATAAATAACATCATGATAAATGGAGAAGAGGAATCCTGGTGTGGTGCCGTTGGTTAATGCACTGGACTGCAAAGTCCATTTTGAACCGGGATGCCTACGGTTCAAGTTCACCAGCTACTCCTTGGAAACCCTGTACAGGGTTGCTATGGGTCAGAACGTGACTCAACGGCACTTAACAACAACAATAATAAATGGAGAAGATGGAGAAAAGATTAAAATTGTCAAAGACTTCATTCATTTTGCTTGACTTTCCAGCACTCATAGAATCAATGTATTTCATTGGGCAAGTCTGCTTTAAAAGACCACCTTGAAGTTTTATGGAGCAAAAATACCAGTTTGAGGAGTAAGGTGCACCATGGCCCAAGCCATGGTATTTTCAATCATCTCATATGCATGTGAATGTTGGACAATGAATAAGGAAGACCTTAGAAGAATCGATGCATTTGAGTTATGGTGTTGGCAAAGAATATTGAAAGTACTGGCTGCCAGAAGAACAAACAAATTTGTGTTGGAAGAACTACAGCCAGAATGCTCCTTAGAAGCCAGGATGGCAAGACTTCATCTCTTATACTTTGGACATGTTATCATGAGGGACCAATCCTTGCAGGGCATTATGCTTGGAAAAGTGGAGGTCAATGAAAAAGAGGAAGATCCCCCCCCCCCACACACACACACACACCAACAAGGTGGACTAACACAGAGACTGCACAAATGTAACAATTGTGAGGATGGCTCAGGATCGGGCAGTGTCTCATTCTGTTGTGCATAGAGTTTCTGTGAGTCAAAACCTACTCAATGGTACCTAACAACAACAGAGTTTCTCTCTTCTAAGTATTAACATTTTTTATTGCATCCATTGGATTAAGACTTCTTTGATACACTTTTTTTTTGCCTTCCTGCGTTAGCACAGTATACTAAACAGAAGTGTACTGTGTTTCTTGATGACACAAATTACTGTTGACCATTAGTTAGGGTTGCACTGTTTATTGATTCAGTGAAATCCTCAAAAACTACATTGTGTATCTCTATACCAAAGAGCCACAAATAGTGAGTCTCACTGACTCATTTTAACTTTCAGTTCGTTTTCCTGTTGTTTCTGTCCTAGTTCTCTTTTATCTTACCTCCATACCTACCTTTAGCTACCCTCCTCTTCCATTCCAGGAGAATTGGTGGTGCAGCAGGTTAAGCACCAGGCTGCTAACTGAGAAGTTGGCTGTTTGAACCCACCAGCAGCTCCATGGAAGAAAGATAGGCAGTCTGCTTTTGTAAACACTTACAGCCTTGGTAACCCTAGGTAGCAATTCTGCTCTGTCCTATGGGGTCACCATGAGTTGGAACCAACTTGACAAGAGTGGGTATTCTCTTTCTAGTTGGTTCAGAAAACAGATCACTATACTTACATGGAAGGAGCTCTGGTAGCATAGTGGTTACAAGTCAGGTGGCTAACCTCAAGGCCAGCTAGTTCGAAACTACCAGTGGCTACATGGGAGAAAGATGTGGCTTTCTGCTCTGGTAAAGATTTACAGCCTTAGAAACCCTATACAGAGTCGCTATGGGTGGGAATCGACTCCGCGGCACACAGCCATCACATTTATATGGAGGAATCCTGGTGTGGTGCTAGGGTAGGCACTAGACTGTAAGTAAGGGTGATGGTTCACACTCACCATTCGTTCGCTCCTCAGAAACCCTATAACTGACTCGACGGATATTTAACAAAAGCAACATACCTATATCGGAAAAATGAATTCAAGTTTTGGAATAAGAAACACTCACATTCCAACCATGGCTCTGCCACAGCCACTTTCTAGGTGTTACTTCAACACTTTGTGTCTTAGTTTCTTCGTCTGTAAAACTATGAGTTGCTAGGAGAATTAATGTATATGAAATACCTATTATATAGTATAAGGAGCTCTGGTAGTGTAGTGGTTACAAATCGGGCTGCAAACCGCAAGGTCAGCAGTTTGAAACTACCAGCTGTTCCTCAGGAGAAAGATGAGGCTTTCTGCTCCCATAAAGATTTACAGCCTCGGAAACCCTGTGCAGGGTCGCTATGAGTCAGAACTGATTCCACAAGCACATAACCACCACCACCATTATATAGTATAAATAGGCTCACCATGAGTTGGAATCAACTACATGTAGTTGTTGTTATCAAGTGCCGTGGAGTCGATGCCGACCCATAGCGACACTGTATAGGGTTTCCAAGGAACAGCTGGTAGTTTGAACCACTGACCTTGCAGTTCAAACGGCTTTGCAGTCTAGCACATTAGCCCACAGCACCACACCAGGACTCCATAGCAGTAGGTTATTATATGGTATGTGCTTGAAAATTATTTTTATATAAGTGAGGTATAAACAAAGAAACAGTGCTGCAGACTTTGCAGTATTCTCTCTTAGCTGACTGTCAGAGGCTTTTTGTTGTTTCATACATTCTGCATGGTTCAGAATGTCAAGAACTGGTCATTGGTTAAGTAATATGTTGATAAATATATAACTGTTTTCTACCTTTGATTTTAAACTGAAAACAGCATTTTGTTACAAAAATGTGAACTTATTTATAACTTTAATTTTCTTAGTTCTGGCCCCAAAGATGCCCCTTTGTGATTGTTTTTCATTAGTATCACATAAATGTGTGGTATATTCTTCTAAAGGGTAAATAGAATGCCAACCTTTTGTCAAGGAAATTATTATTTTCTCTGGAGGTAAAGGGATTTCCTTGGCAAAAGGTTGAGGTTACGTTTAGTTTTGGAAACAGACTGTTTCCTGACTGTACAAAGTAAAACACATTTTTAAAATAACCTTAAAAGCTAGGAGATATTGAATTACTATAAAAAGAAATAAAGAAATATTTCTGAAATAAAGGATATCTTCTAAATTATGCTTTAAGTTTTAAAAACAAAAAAAGCTAAGTATATTTGATAGGTTAATCTATAAGACGTATTTGTTAGCGCTAACCTATAATTGTGGCACTGTAGGATAAGCATTGGAATGCAGTTGGAGCCTATTAGTGGCTCCTCAGGAGAAAAATGAGGCTTTCTGCTTTTAAAAAGACTCACAGTCTCGGGAACCTCACAGAACAGACTTGATGGCACTTAACAACAACTAAAGTCTTATACATTTAAAAAGTATCTAAAATCTTTAGTATTAAAATAAATTGGTTTCCTTTAATATTCTAGCAATTGAATCCACTGTTTTAATTGTCAACTTGGTTGATTGTTTTTTTTTGGAATCCAGTTTTTTAATTAGCCACCTACAGCCACTCTAAGGAGTGATTATTTGTTAGGAAAATATTTATTATACTCTGCCAATGTGTCCCTGAAGTTGCTTAGATACAATATTTCTATTTAACCTGAGGGTTTGGCAATTTTTATACGAAATCCAAGTAGATAAAATGATCCTGATATTGTCTAAATTGTAAGGGTGCTAATGTAGATTCTTTGATTGTACACACTACCTTGCAGCAGAATAAAAGGATTCTTTATAGGACCAACAATATCTTATAATGCATGAAATATTTTCCACAGCTTATTTT